AAGACTATGGTCCCATGGTCCACGTGTTGCTTGGAGCTCTATCAGGAGCACATGCTTTAATTATACATAAGTTAAACTTAAAAGCATAAAACTTTTAAGACAAAATTTAGTCAAATTTACCTCCAAAACAGTATACTTGACAATCAAATTGGTCAGAGGGAGTATTTTAAAAAAAATATATATATATATAACCTTTTAGAAGGGCCAAGGCCTGTGATTTTATTTAATATTTAAGTTTAACATGCCTGTATATTCGTCCAGCGCAGATGGGCATTGCTTCTATGGTTCACCTTTATGTTTTCCCTGCAAAACCCTACACACTGATGGCTGAGTGCTTTGCTGGAGCTGTTTCAGTTCTTGGAGATTATGTATCCGCTGAATGTCCTATAGATCCTGATGAGGTTAGAGACAGCGAGCGTCCCACTAAATTGCGCCTTCCTCAACCCGATACTGATGATAGGAGTGGAATGAATATCAAAGAGAGCGTCCGGGATGTTGTTATTGGTGGTGGTGAATATGTAAGTGTCTCTTATTCTTTATTAAGCCCATTGTTCATTTATTGAATTAGTATAGTTTTCCATCAATTAGAGACTTTTATTTATTAAAAAAGCTTTTTTTTTTTCAATAAGCTCTAGAGGGACTTAAGAAGCAGTTTATACGTTTCTGATAATACTCTTTCTCTGCCCTGTGCATCCAGTATAACTAATATATTAACGCTAGTTGTCTGCATCCAGATAGTGAATGACGTAAAATTCACAGTAACCCATGCAGTGGAGCCCGTAGAGAAGGGAATCACCAAGTTCAATCAGAAACTACATAAGATCTCTCAGAACATTAAGAAGCACAATGAAGACAGGAGAACGAAGGACGATAGTTGTATAGCAGCAGCATCTCCCACGCGGAGAATAATACGAGGGATAGACGACCCTCTTTTGAATGTAAGTGGGTGCGACACCGGGACTTTCACGAATAAGAGTCTGCGGTGGAAAGCTGGATACACGAGCGAAAGTGGCGGAGAAAACGACAGTAAAAGGAGATTTGGCGGATTCCTAGTCCGGGGCAATAGGTGGGTTACTAAGGACTGACAAAGCTGACTGGAGGAGGCGAGAGTAGCCGAGGTTTGAGCATCTAGTTGGATTGGATGGCATATGTTCCTCTGATAAGAACCCGTCAGCCTGATGTTGCACTTTCCACTGGCATTACCTCACTGCTGGGACGTTCAAGTTTTTACTCCGAGGCTGTGGCATCTGGGGCGGTTTTGCTTAGTATATGACTGACGAGAATACATGGTTCTTGTAGATTGATTGATTATTCGTCTGTTATCTGACCAGGTTTTTAATCCATCATTCATTCTACTTCATTCTTTTAATAATACCAAATCTCGTGGCAAATGTGCAGTTTTGTACAGATAAATTGAAAATTACTGCTTTATTCTGCTGTAACTTCATACTTACTGTTCTTTGACCGATGAAGTGATGATTCAGTTTGGATGATATTTCTGTTGGACCTGCTAATAATTTTTTCTGGGTCCATAGATAATTTTCTGGGTCACTGATTCTCTTCTGTTTTCTTGATTTTGTGCCTTTTTAATTTTTTTTTTTACTGCTATATACAGGAGTACAGGGGCTGTTCCTGAATAGTGTGAGTCTGTAAAGACAGCTTCTTTATATTTTGTTTCGTACATTTTTTTAAACTTTTTTTTTTTAATCCAAAACTAATAGACAAAAAGCATGCTATTGTGAAAAAGAATACAAACAAAACAAACAATTCTGTATAACTCATACTTGTACCTTCATCCTACATAGAGTATGGCGTATCAAGTAAATAATCTTCCATATACTATAATACATAACCGTACCGTACTATACCATATCAATATCTAATTAAAATAAGATTTTTTTTAATTATAATAAAATAACAATTTTAGACATCCCTCGTTACAGGTTTTTGTACTATTAACTTTTTAGATGTCAATTTATTAAATGCTCCCACCTAACACGAGATTAGCACTGAATTGAGTGTATTAGAAAGTAGGCTTGGAAACCCACAACACACAATGTGTTGCTATCACATATGATACAACATAGTTTTGGATAAGTCTAAGAATATTGGAATCATAGCTAATGACTTATTATGGAAATAAATTTGTTTTAGTACATATGTTTTTGAGTTTGACAAATACTCTTTAATTAATATATCGATTTTAAAAATCAAATTAAATAAAATAACATGGTCATTAATTATTAATAGTACACACCCCCTCACGTACATGGACCGTAGTCGCTTATCGCCAGACTCTGATACTAAATCGAAACATGTGTTCCATCTCAATTAAAAACAGCTGATAGTTGGATTGCACAATAATGATTATATGCTCAACAATTATGTCAGTTTAAATAATACAGAAGTTAGTACGTGTAGCATTAATTATACCGTAATTTTATTGGGGGTGTGGTAGGAATAGAAAAAAGATTAGTAAAAGATGTATAGAAGGTGTAAGCAGGATTAAGCAGTGTTAGACATATGAACGAGCCAATCTTAGTGAATAAAAGTGGGTCCGATGATGTCGTATTGTTGTAAAATTCATCACACTTCTCCTTTATTGGCCATCCATCATCCATTGATGAGTGATGTGGTAGATAGCTTAGCTCCAAAACTGATAATAAGGTACAATACACTTAAAAATGAAAGAAACCTCGTATGATTTATACGGTTGTGGTGAGCTGAGGTGAGAGCTGAACTGTACCGACAAATAATTGGGATCAACAAGCACAAAATTATAAAACTGTGGCGTCCAAAATGGATCCGACCGAGTGGATTGACATCCTAAGAATGCACATTCCGGATCGGAGTGAATCCAACAGGAACATCCATCGCCATGAGCCACGAGCCGTTTCTTCTCAGGGTCCACCGTCCACGACGACCTAATCCTGTGGGATTACGCTTGCTTGCCGACTTAATTACCTCGTCGCCCTGTCTGTCTGTCTGTCAGTCACTCATCGTATCCTCGGATTTGCAGGAAATTTCCTTCTGTAGCAGGGTCAATATTAACAGTTGCGCCTTTGGCCCGCCCCACAGCGTCACGTACTCACGTCCATTTGCGTGATCAACTTATTCGTATACGAGAGTCTGCGTGCAGAGTTTGTCGAACGATTGTCTGCACTCCACGTATTCGATGATATGCGCCAGAAACCGCAAATTTCAGATTATTCTTTTACCCAATATCTCATTATTTTCAATTCACTCGCGGTGAAACCTTCCTTGTATTTTTAGCCCGAAGAAACAATTTTCAGTTATATTATTTTCATATAAAGGTTCAACCTCAAGGCCCCAACCCCCACTATTTTCATATAATCATACACATAGAGGTGACTATTGTTCTACTATGTTAGCTTACAAAACTTGGATACACTTATAATTTAATTAGTTTATTTACCATAATATGAAAATTAAAAACAATTTTACTAATTATAAAGAATCTTTTTTTTTTTTTTGAATACTACTAGCTCTATTACAACGTAATATCTGTTCAACCTACTGAAACACAAAGAGCTAATAACGCCTCCACTGAGGCTTGAACTCACAATCTTCCTAATGGAAGTCCAACCCGGGTACCATTGGACCACATAGTCCTGGCCAAAGAATCTATTATAATGGCAATTCAATTACTTTTCAAGTAAAACATATCAAGAAAAATATTACAATTATTGGTCAATATCAGTTTTTTTAAACTCTAAACATTAATAACACACATGATTTTTTTAATAAATAATATTTTATATATATTGCATATTAAAAAATAAAAAAAAACCTTTCTAAGATAGTTCAAGCGATCGACCAATCAACATTTAATCTTGTTTTCAACTACAAAGAGATTAACTATAAAGAGGCCCAAGATATAATTTGAGAAGGTAGAAATCGAACTCAGCGTGAACGCCCAAAATAAAGGTTCAAAGAACTCATGTAAGCCAACCTCTAAATCCTAACCAAACAAAATAAGTTCAATATTTTTAAATTTAAGATAAAAATAAAATATTAAAGAGAGATAGTTAATTTTGATTTCAATCCTTCAACTATCGTATTTTTCACTTTTGACCCTATGTTTAAAATTAATTAGATTTTATCCCCAACAATTAAAAAAAAAAAGTATATAAGTTTTTAGTTTTAAAATATGAAACTTTTTTTTTTTAAAATCCTTTTAGACCTCCGTTAGGACTAAGTTATATGTGGTCAATTTTAAATATGATAGTCTAAAAGAAAAAAAATAACACAATGACCTGTTTGGTAAAATAGTTAGCTTATTAGCAAATTTTGACTTATTTGCTCACTATTAACCTTTTGATTTGGTTAAAAAAATTAATATAAATATTTGATTAATTTTTTTTTTTGTAATTTTAAAATGATAAAAATAAAAAAGCTGCTCAAAACAACTTTTTAAATTAGCTTTTTGAGAAAGAAAATTATACAAAACAGCTATCCGTTAATAGCTAATTTATCAAATATTTTTCTACCATCAGCTAATGTTATCAACTAGTTATACTCTCTAATTAATTAACTCAATAAGCTAACAGGGCTAATAACTGAGGAGAAATTAACCAAAAAATTAGTTTAATTTGATGAATTGTTAAGGAAACTAATTATGATTAAGCTACATATGTTTATATAAGTAGTGGGAAAGGCAGAGATGAAGAATTCCTCCCTCCACCATCAAAGGACCAAGTGGCACATGTCTACTTAATCTTATTCCCAATTCATGCATGTTTTGTCGCAACCAGGCACTGCCGGCTAAGCTAAACAAACACAAACCCCAAACAACACTCCATTTGATCAGTTCCATTCTTGATTTCTCCGAGTCCTAAGCTAACATTAAAAACCTCGTCTTTAAGCTTTATTTTTTATTTTTTGTTTTTTTTATTTTTGCCTCATCGTTAAGTAGATGGCTTCTGTGTCTCAACGTTTGTGTCCTAAACTACTACTCTTCACATCCAAAATCAGTCAAAAAATCCTTAACAACAAACTCTGGTTTCCCCAAATTACCCTCCTCCCCTCCTGCATGGACAAGGTGAATTGGGTAAATTGACCTCCCCCACTCCAAAATCTGCCTGCCGGCTTCCCATCTATTCTGCCGCCATTATTCAGGTGTTTGTTTTTCCTCTCACCCATCTTTCGCTAACAATAATCCAACAATTCCGCCTCTCCATTCCCATTTTCTCATTTTGAATTTCTGGGTTTTTTTTTTCTTCTTTGTTCTTAATTACACAGTGAAGAAGAAGAAGAGAAGAAGAAGAACATGGAGTTTGATCAAAAGCCCAGGAAGCAGAAATTCAGAGAAGTTAGTTCAAGATTCCTGTCGCCGACCTCAAACTCCTCGTCGGCGAATGCAATGTCGTCCCCGAATCATCACGTTCTGTCGCCGGTGAAGCAGAAGCCCCGATCATCCACTGATTCCCGGAAGCATAAGGGGCTGGAGAAATCGGGTTTCATGGCGAAGCTTTGGCCCTCGTCCGCCCCGTCCTCGCAATCTTCAAGCTCCAAGGTGGACTCTCTTGGCAATCACCTCGGACACGAGAGGCTAAAAGAGCTTGAAGAGGACAAACATGGAGACAGAGCGGATAATCCCATGTTTCTCAACCGCCAGAACAGTTGCTTGGAGTTTAGCAGGTTTGAGCGCGAGAAAGATAAAGGAGCTAAGGAAAATCACCGCCCGGGGATCGGTGGGTCCATGTCCATGCGCCACACCGGAAAATTCATGCTTCCCGGCAGATCTTCCACTTCTTCATCCTCGTCTTCCTCGTCCTCCTCAAAATCCTCGAATTTACTTGAAGATTACTCTGATCGTGATCGTGATCGCCTTCTTCCGGGGAGATTTTCTGTCGATGAAAATGCCCTCCAGGGGAAGAACTACGTGAAAAGATCAGATTTTTTATCCGATTTGCAGGCCTATTCCGAGTCTGAAAACACTGAATTTTTCGGTTCCCCTGTGGCCGGGAAGAACAATATCCCATCCTACATGGCGCCCACACTCAGTTCAAGAAAAGCTGGAATCGAAGTCGCATCAAAGTACATGCAAGATTTGCCGTCGAAATCCCGGAGATGGAGTTCAGATTCCGGCGCCCAGAACACCGCCGTATCAGCAGAGTACTCTCCCAAAAAGGCCTCCCAAAAAACTGCCATAAAAAGGACTAACTCACTAGGCACGACGAATTCTAAGTGCTCTGCATCTCCGGGGAGATCAAACTCCCCGCCGGTTTTGGCAGAGAACAAAGGGAAACTAGCCGGAATTTCAACTTCAAAGCCGCCGACCAGCCCTTCAAGAGTGAAAGGAGTCGGGAGTTTCTTGAGTATGGGGCTTGAATTGCTTAAGGTCAAGAAATCTTCTTCTTCTTCTGCGTCGTCCCCCTTAGGCCCCGGAACATCGGAGACCGTTCATCACTTGAGGTTGCTCCATAACAGGCTGATGCAGTGGAGATATGCTAATGCAAGATCTTATGTTGTTAATGACAACATTATCAGACAGGCTAAGGTTCTTAATTATATATATATGTTTGTCTAAATCTTTCATTTAGTTCTGTTGTTTCAGAAGATTTTCTTGATAGTTTCTGATTAAACTTTGGGATTTTGCAGAACAACTCAATATATGCATGGGATGGTCTTGCTAAACTGCACCATTCTGTAATGCAGAAGAAGCTGCAGTTGCAGAAGGAGAAGATGGAGATGAAACTCACTTATGTACTTCATTCTCAAGTCAGTAATTACCACTCTACTATGACAATAATATATATTGATCTTTATAAAATTTTCTGAGACTTTTGTGGTTAATAATTGTTCAGATCAAACTTCTTGAAGCTTGGGGTGACATGGAAAGACAACACTTATCTGCAATCTCCATGACCAAAGATTCCTTAAACTCAGTTGTTTGTAGTGTCCCCCTCGTTCAAGGCGCAAAGGTACCTCTGAATGAGACTCGACTTGATTAATCTCGTCTTGATAAAAAAAAAAAAAATATTGACTTTAAGTGAATTCGATTAATTTGTTGCAGGTGGAACCACAATCAACCTCCATGGCTCTTCGTCACGCTTCAGAGGTTGCTGCATCCATCAAGTTGATGTTGTCTGCCTTCTCGCCCGGGGTAAACCATATATATGTATATATATATATACACAGATACACTTGTTTTGCAACTGGTTTTGATCTGAAACAAGGATGTTTTTTTGTTTTGGTTTGTCCTAGGCTGAGAAGACATCTGAAGTACTGAAAGAAATAGCAGAGGTTGTAATACAAGAGAAATTGCTGCTGGAAGAGTGCTTGGAGCTTTTCAAGACCATTTCTGCACTAGAGGTCAGATTTCTGGAACCAAATTAAAGATTTTGCATATATGATTGGATTATTGTGTTCTTATTCTTTCTGGGTTTTATGTTTGACAGATTCAAGAGAGGAGTTTGAAGTGTAACATAGTACAGTTAAGATTGGTAGAAGATGAATACCAATTCCGACACCAGGAACTCAGCTGGAAGACCTATCTGCAGCATAATAATAATTTTTATTATTAGATAGGAAAAAAAAAAAAGAATCAGAAGATGCATTTAGGCTTCTCACTTGGTTTTTAGAGAGATAGTTTGCTGACAGAGACTTTTAACAAAAACAAAAAATAAATATAAAAAAAATGCTCATATTTGTCTTGTTTACACTTTCTTCCATTGTAAGTCAGTCTAATCACCTCCACATAAACATGCTTTGTTTACTCATTGTCCAATTTTAAACAAACAAATAGGGAGAGCAATTCTTATATCCAATCAATCAATGGAGTCTTATAATAACACAACTTGTTTTATCCCAAAATATGAAATTTTACATAAAAAATTAGAAACCACAACTTTTATTTCTCTCTATATATTATTTTACTTTACATATGAGTAAGAGATAATATTTTTTACTCGAATTTAGCTTGTGTGTCTCGACATTGTATAATAACACAATGTATTAAGCTAAATTGTGGATCCAATAAATTATAATTTTTTTTTTTCAAATTAATTTTGAACTAATTTGAATCTACAATATTTTAAATAAGAAAATAAATAAGCTTATTTTTGAAGAAGTTTTAAAAAATTGCTTATTATTCCTTATCCTCACTAAGGGTGTGTTTGAAAATTATTTTCTGAGTTTCCAATTGGCAAGACTTGAAAAATTAAAGTCATGGAAAATGATTTTTGGTCAAAGGGAAAAATACATTTGTTTTCTTGGAAAATAATTTCCCATTTTTTTGAGGAGAAGTCATTTTCCAGATTCACAGCTTCTTTTTCCTCAGCTTGTTCCGCGACTTCTTCCTCGGCAATCTCCCACGTTTTTCTTTGATGAAAACCCACAACAGATTTCTGTCCGAAAATTCACAAACCAATGCTCTGGTTCTGATAAATGACTCATTTTACTGATTTTCAAACACACCCTAAGTGAGTTTATTTGAGTAAAACTAATTAACATTACATGAGTAGAGTTTAAAGGGAAAAACACAGGCAGAGCAAAATAAAACAAAGAATACGAAAATGCAACAGCATTTTGGGAGAAAAGGGAAAAAACACAGGCAGAGCAAAATAAAACAGAAAGGGAAAATCCGACCTGCCGGATTCGAACCAGCGACCTAAGGATCATCTGCGTTCAACTACAGTCCTCCGCTCTACCAACTGAGCTAAGGTCGGATGCGTTATTTGTGTTGCAGGAATATTTACTTCTATTAGTCCTTATTGAATACTCCGTATTGAACTTTAGAAACATTTTGACATTTTAATAATTTTTATGAGTTAAAATTCAATATGATTTATTATTAGATATGAATAATAGTTTAGATGATACATTTAGATTTTTTCATTTTTGCAGAAATAATTAATTATTGAGATTTAAAAAGAGCTCATATTGGCCTTATTTACACTTTAATTGTTAGTTTCTTAGGGGTTTAAGTAAGCATAATTTAAATTTATCCACGTAAACATGCTATCTTTTACCTATTTTCCAATGTTATATAAAGATTTTGGGGAACTTTTTTTTTTTTTTTGGTGACAATGGAATTCCGTATATTAGAGAGCGTATTTAGTGTGGTAAACTCAATCGAGAAGGAGTTAACAAGAGTCAAATATGTAACCTATAAGTATGAGAATTATGCACTATCCATGAACTACAAACACACAAATGATGCTAGTTCCACGCACTCAAGCACCCTTCCGGGGTGAGTGTGTAACTCTTATATCCTATCAATGGTGTCTTATTGCAACATAAAAATATTTTGTTCTAAATTAGTAGAGATTTACATAGAAAATTAGGAATTATAATTGATGGGTTGGATATAGGCAGTCTGGTATTCACACTCAATTAGTACAAATGGTGGACTGGTGGGTTCAACCAAACCTAGTATGGTCTAAAACTTGAGATACATGTTATCTCATTTAGAGGAGATGCATATATAAGATCATTGGACTGATTTTAAGAAGTCATTTTCCTTATTATTTTTGAGATTGTGTTTTCCTTATGTTTTAGAAGATGAACTTGTAATTAATACCCTTAATTTGAGGAATTTACCTTCCATATTTAGTTCAAGCCCTTAATTGTTAGATTCAGTTGTTTAGATGAGTTCAATGTTAAACATTGACTAAATTGATCATGCATCTAAGGAATTATATATTGTTTCTTTTATGCTCAACCAATTTAAAATATATCTTGAGTTTTGAATATTTTAAGCAAACTAATAACTAAGCTAATTCCCTATAAATATTTTTTTTTTTTTTTAAACTAAGCTAATTATTAAACAAGTTTGATAGATATGCTTGGTATTTTTGGTTTTATGGTTTACAAGTTCATTTAAATTAAACGAAATACAAATATAAAAAATATCAAATTGGAATATCATTTTTAAATCTCAATTACTAAATATTCCAAGCAAAACAAATTATATTCTTAGAAGTTAGAATGAATGAATGATACAACAATAAACGCATGAGCAATGACCACAGAATTGCTGAAAACTAGATTAAAAATCTTCCGACCTGCCGGATTCGAACCAGCGACCTAAGGATCTTCTGCGAGTCAACTACAGTCCTCCGCTCTACCAACTGAGCTAAGGTCGGATGTTGGATATAAGCCAGTAAAATATATATATGGAGGTAGTTCTTGTATACATACATACACACATAATTACATATATATGTAGTTCGTTTTCCGGTTTGTATTGTGAATATTCTTGTTGCATACTAGAATTTTTTGACATGCAGGTTTATTAATTTGTAAGTAATTTATTAAACTCTCAATTAGTTGTTATGATTTTTTTTTTAATGTTTTTATTAGCAAGGATATATTAGAAATGTAAAAAAAAATTGTGGAAAAGTTTAAACGAACAAAACGTGTTAATTAATTTTTCATGTAATTTAATTGTTATGTTTCCAGGATAACACCAAAAATGTTAATTAATTTTTTCACTCAAATTATTCCATCAAATATATTCCTTGAAAACATTTTTTCAAGAATTTAATTGATGAGAAAGTACCAAACGCCCTTTAAGTAAAAATACAATTAAATACTTTAACTATAAAAAAAAAAAAAAAAAAAAGTATACTTAAAGCTTCAAATTTCTATTTTCGTGTGATTAGGTTTCAATCTTGACTAAATTAAAAATTAATTGTCGTGCTAATATAGTAATATCTTTAAACAACTAATGGAGTTTTGTTTTTTATTCAAAATTTTACTTCATGATTTAGACAATAATATTTTATGATATATGCATGCAAAATAATGTTTTTACACAAATAATATTAATTTTTTTTAAATATATAAAACCAAGTATATGTAATTGGGTGATTTGAAGGTGTACAAATTACGGCCTAATTCTTTTTTTTTTTTTTTTTTTTTTTTTTTTTTTCTAATTTTGATTGGGTTTGAAAGTAGGGCATGGGTGGCAAGTTGGCATGTTGTTGATGAATCTTTATCCCACGTTTAATGAGGAGCTCCGCTGTCTGGCAATGTTTTGAGAGCACGTTCTTTTGCAAGGTCGTAGGGATATCCGTATGGTATGGTTGCACTTGCACATCATACTCATGTAGCGTCAAGGTCTAATCATTTTTATTCACTACCTAATAATATTCAACTCAATTAGTGTGGGACGACTGTGGGTACATAAATGTTACTTTTTTCTAAATAATTAACACAACCTTTTGTACTCCGTACTTTAACATGACACTATCACAATTTTATAAAGTAAGTTTCAAAATTGAATCTTAAATTATTGGTGTTTTTTTTTTTTTAAAAAAAAAATTATCTTTAATTTTTAACTTATCATAATTGATTTTTAGACTATCGTCTATCGAGTTTGTGATCCCATATTGGTCCTATATTAAAACATTCATTTAGGAGGAGTCAATTATGAGGATTGTTGGTTTTGCACGGGATGACACACTATGAACCCAACATTTTAAATATGAGTAAATTGTCAGAAATAAATGGATCATGGGTCTTTTTTCAACTGTGCCAAGCAAAATTCAATATATTTCTAATGGATCCAGTCCGGAGGAAATCAATCCAAGACAAGGAATCAAGGAAGTCTGATTCAACCCGAGATGCTCCTCAACCGGCCTCGTGGCCTCAAGGGCCAAGCTCAATGCCCAGCGCCTTGAGGCCTAGGACCAAGCCCAATGCTTGGTGCCTTTAGGGACCCATCCAGAACCACCGAGCTCAGTGCTCGGTGCCTTTGGGGTCCAAGGCTAAGGCTGAGCTCTGGACTTAGCCTTTGTGGTCTAAGGGTAGCTCGTGAGCAGGCATGAGAGGTCCATTGGGTGCGGTTAAGAGGTTCCAACCACCCGCCCTATTCTCGTGGGGTGGTTAGGGAGTAGATTAGTATAAATAGGGTGGTCATTGTTTTGTTGAGACATCTCAAATCCTCTTTGTAATCACATTATTCAAGTTTTAATACAAGCTTTGTCCCTACAACTAATTTCCGCTCTGCATTCATTACCTTAGCTTTGTCTTTATTTCTTATTGTTCTCTTGATTATTGGGTTATTTGAATCAGGCTACCCGAGTCAATATAATCTATCAATTTCAAAGGAGTTTTGTACATAGATGTAGAACTAAATGATAAATACAAAGATGTAGATGCCTAGTTCTCATCGTCGTTGACCATGACTATTTATGTTGATGATATGATAATCATACCACTTTATGATAATTGAACGATAATGGTAGGATTGATGGTCATTTTGGCACAATGGGATGAGTATTGTTAGTCTTCAGAGCTAAGAATAGTAATATACTTGAATTGTTCTCCTTTTTGTCAGGTCTCATTTTTTGTATTTATACTAGCTATTTAGGGTTACAATGTTCAAGTGGTTACAAATAAAAGTAGTACACGTGTCTTCGTCACCCACATCTTGTCCTGATATTGCCTCAGTGCAAAATTTGTTGAGCATAACTAACTATGACATCAACATGACTACCATTAGAGGTTTTGGATATATTTGTCCAACATTGGTATGTTGTATCTTCTAACTTGTGTTGTTGCTTGACAATAACTACGTCAAGCTTTAGGTCAGCAGGTGAGCTAATATGGAGAGTGGCCTGGGTGGTAATTCCCCCACAATGAGATAATTGAGAGATGATTTACGTACTTTTCTTAAGGGTCTGTTTGGAAACCCGGAAAATGACTTCTGGAAGTCATTTTCCAAGTTTTTGGTGTTTGGGAAGGCTGAAAATGAAAAAGTCAAAGGAAAATGACTTCTAGTCAATGGAAAATAAGGGCTGAAATCAGGAAAATGACTTCCCCTTTTTTTTGGCGGAAGTCATTTTCCATCTTTCAATCAACATCCGAGACACGCTTCTTCTCCCTTCACTGCTTCTTCTCCCTTCACCGCTTCTTCAACGTTCAACAAAGACCTACCCACGCATCTTCTCCAACAATCCACAAAAGCTTCACCAACACTAGAAAAGCTACAAGGTATGTTTTTTTATTTTTTTTTTTCCAAATATTATGGGTGTGGTTTTCCGCATCGGAAACCAGATATGGTTTCCGATGCGGAAAACCAGTCACTTTCCGATCGGAAACCATGCACTGGTTTCCGATCGGAAACCATGCACTGGTTTCCGATCGGAAACCAGTGCGTTCCAATCGGAAACCAGTTCACTGGTTTCCAATTGGAAACTAGTGAACACTGGTTTCCGGTCGGAAACCAGTGTTAACACTGGTTTCCGATCGGAAACCAGTGAATGGTTTTATTAATTGGTTTCGAAACCAGTTACAATTTTTTTTGTTTGTATTTTTTTATGCCAAACCGTGAAGTTGTTGCTGGTATTTTTTTTATTGATTATATATAACATGCTTTGCATAATTTGTGGTTATGTGTTAATTTTAATTGTTGTTATTTGTTGGATTATTATTTTGATTGTATAGATGGATAGAAATCATGTGCGTGCAAAAATAAAAATATATTATTCGGTATATAATAATTAAAATGTTTAATAAAAATAAGTGTGCCATTCTTTTCATTTTCTGGATAATGAACCAAACACCAAAAGACAGTTTTCCATCATTTTCTGGAAAATGAACCAAACACCAAAAGACAGTTTTCCATTGTGTAGCCAAACACAGGAAAGGAAAATGACTTCTGGAAAATGTCTCATTTTCCAGAAGTCATTTTCCGGGTTTCCAAATAGACCCTAAATTAATTACAGGTTCACCATTTTTTTTATTTTTTATTTTTGGAAATATAGGGTCACCATTTAATTTGTAATTAACGGTTGTCATAATTATTTTAAATTTTAAAATTATTTTGACTAAATAGTTTCTTAATTTGAGTCAGTCAAATATAGATAACCTAATAGATAAGAAATTATGAATTTTACAATTTTACTCTCATAATTAACACATGAATTTATTAATGAATGACTAAATTTAAAGCAAATCAATAGTTTGGAGACTAGCTAATTATGGTCAAATTAAAAATTGACAATTATAATTAAAAATTCAATAGTTGAGGGACCATTCTCGGAATTAACTTATTTTTATATTATTAGTGATTTATAAATTGATCAATGGGATCTCCCACGCGTTTGGTCTAGCTTCTTCCTAATGCTATAATCATTTTTCATTATTTTCCAAATTTCATGTCGTCATCATAAACAAAATGTGACCTAAAATATTTAATAAATGCCACCTTATTTAAATTATAAAATTTATAAGTATCACTAATTCGAATGACTCTGATCTCATCATCACCTACCCCATGCATGAACGATACAGCATGGAAATTTCTCCGATCCTCATCTCTCGACCGTCCTCCAGTTTGGTTTGGTTGACCACCACACATTGTACGTCAACACTGCTAACTACATGCATGCAACACCCTGGCTCTGATCTTCCATTATAATATAAATCCTCCAATTCTTTACCAAAACCTGAAATTTGGTTTCTTAATTTTTAATTTAATTGAGTCTTTTGTTTTTGTCTCCTTCTGGTCTTTCTCCCCGGGTAGTCCGCAGCACCGAGCATCGGAGCATGGCCATTGTTGTTGGCCTCTGAATGCTCACTACCCACCATCGGAGGAAGATAGAAGGCGACTGGAACAAGCTGGCTCACGCCATCTTCTTCCCCAATTACCAGATAGAAGATTAAAGCTAAGTAAAGTAAATCAATCAAGGCCGGCGAGTGTATATAGATCGATCAAGATGAATGACTTATTCTCTAACAGCTCGTTTAAGCGCTACCAGGATAATGATCTGGAGGCGGGAGGCGGCGGGCCGGCGCCGGCGGCGGGGAATGATGAATCCGCCGATCTGAACAAGTTTTTCGAAGATGTGGAGAACGTGAAGAGTGACATGAAGGATGTGGAGGCACTGTACAAGAAGTTGCAGGAAGAGAACGAGGAGTGTAAGACGGTCCACAATGCCAAAACCATGAAGAATCTGAGGTCGAAGATGGACGGGGATGTGGCGCAGGTGTTGAAGCGCGTCAAGGTGATCAAGGGCAAGCTGGAAGCTCTGGAACGGTCCAACGCCGCGTCCCGCCAGGTGTCCGGCTGCGGCCCCGGCTCCTCCACCGACCGGACCAGAACCGCCGTGGTGGGCGGGCTTGGCAAGAAGCTGAAAGTGATGATGGACGACTTTCAGGCGCTGAGGGCGAAGATGAACGCCGAGTACAAGGAGACGGTGGCGAGGAGATTCTTCACCGTGACGGGCGAACAGCCCGACGACGACGTAATCGACAACCTGATCGCCAGCGGCGAGAGCGAGTCGTTCCTTCAGAAAGCCATCCAGGAACAAGGGCGGGGACAGATAATGGACACCATATCGGAAATTCAAGAAAGGCACGACGCGGTGAAAGAGATAGAGAAGAACCTGATCGAACTCCACCAGATATTCTTGGACATGGCGGCGCTGGTGGAGGCGCAAGGGCAGCAGCTGAACGACATAGAGAGCCACGTGGCGAAAGCCAGCTCCTTCGTCCGGCGAGGTACCGAGCAGCTCCAAGAAGCCGAGGAGATTCAGAAGGAGTCCAGAAAGTGCACTTGCATTGCTATTATTCTCGTCATTGTTCTCATCATCGTCCTTCTTTTCCCAATTTGGTCCAATCTTTTGATGCTTCATCTCAAGTAGATCAGAACAATTGGCCCGGGGGATATGGTAAAACAATATCTAAATTTTGAAAGATTTGTAATTTGGAAAACCATTTTTGCAAAATATATGTAAGCTTCAGATTAATTTATTTATTCATTTATATTTTCAGATTTTGTAATAATGTATTAATGTGTAGTCTATGAATGATTAATCATTACTAATGTATTCAAAGTATATATGTTCTTTTGTGTACATTAGCTTTTCCACTTTTGATACATACTCGATCTACTTCAAATATGGATTCGGACCAATATCCTCTTTAACATTTTCTTAGTGACAAGGAAAACAAATAGTCATTACCGGATGATATGTACTAAATAAGTTGTACTCGTGTAATAAAAGAAAGATAAATTGTGCTAAAAAGATCATGTGTAACGACTCTGTTCGATATATATATATATATATATATATATATATATATATATATATATATATATTGTTATTTTTTTTTAAGTGATGAGGAAAATTTTTAACCACTATCCGAATGTATGTACCAAGTAACCCGTCTTGACTTATGACCTTAGCAGGACCTCGTTAATATTTTTGTGACTAGGAATGGTTTGGACGGAATAAGGTCCCTAAATACCACCTGCCCATTTGAGTAAAAAATTTTAATATCGAGCACATTTAATACAATTTACAATTGATATTTGCTTTAATATTAATAATAATATATTCATAATTAATATGTAGTCGTTTTGTCCCATTTCATATATCAAGTTCAATTAAAGAGAAATGATTGAAATTATTTACAATTCCTTTTTTGGTAATATTTAATTTAACATTAGTTTATAAAATTTATAGTTCCATATTGACAAAATTATTGGTACATGTCTCAAAGTTAAACTCAATCCACTACTCATTATGAATGAAATTTTTACATCCAAGCTCAAGCCACATATGCGGATTAGATATGGACGGGATAGATTTGAATTGACATCATATTTTGCAATCGTTTTGTTTAAATTTAAATTAAATTAATAATTCACAAAGATGATCCTTAATAAATTGCCAGACAAAATTTCTCAATCAACATAATATATATATATATATATATATATATATATATATATATATATATATAATCTCCAATTTCCAAATGTAATGATGGAAAATATTTAAGAATTCCACATAAACACAATAAACAAATTCCAACATATACATAAATGTATGTTGTACTAGAAACAGATTGGAATTTGGAAGAATGGAGGGAATAGGATATGATGGGGACCCAGCAGATTCGTGAGGTGTTGCATGGTCACCATGAATGTCCGAGCTAGGTAGGTTTATTTAGGCGAGCAAAAGTGGTGTTGCTGGCTAGACTCATCACTTCGGTTGGATGGTGGCCCAACACTGCTCGCTAGCTGTTAGTTCACATCGATTGATCGAACTGAAATTGTGGTGCCCATTCCCCATTCCCTACCTATAGTAGTTGTCCCATCACCTCCTTTTTGAGTGCTAGTGACTCTGTTAAAATGCAGTATCAGTTCATAACTACTTCTCAACTTACTGAAACGTAACACAAAGAGTTAATATTATCTTTACCGAGGCTCAAACTCACAATCTCCTATATGTGGGTGCAACTTGGTGCCACTACACGGTCTTGGCCTTTTCACTTCCTTTAGATGCAGTTTTCTCCATCCCCATTGCCCTATCAACTCTCAAATTTTCACATACTCAATGAACAAATTAAATGCTCCATCCACGTTTCTCCTCACTAAAGACACTAATTAAAGTGAGAAGAATAGCCCGAAACACATGGCTTAATGTTGAAGCAGGATTCTCGTACTTGAAATGCCACAAGTTTAATTCTTGCAATAATATTTTGGTTGAGTCCGTCGCATATTATCTTTGATTTACAGAGCTTGTAGTCATTACTTAAAACTGCGTTCTAGGTGAAGTCTGCATAGTGACCTTAGCCGGCAAAAGACCACAATGAGATAAACCAGTTTAGGTTACTTATAGACTTATAGTTAATCAGTTCAAATCGAGTATGCCAATAGACAAGTCTCACGAAAAGTCCAACTTAAAACATTATTGTGTCACACATTATCTTTCTAGTATGATTTGTAATTGTGAATTTTTCTTGTCACAAACAAACAAACAAAATAATTAAATAAAGAAGAATACTCAATCTTAAATAAAATGAGAGGCTTTAAATAGCCTTGGTTCACCTTTAAAATTCAATTAATCTTGAATGTGCAAGTTAAAAATTTGTTGAATCTTCTTAACTCGGTCCTTAGCAATTGTTATATCGTACACCAGGACGCACAATGTAGTGTGTATCCAAAAAATCTCATATTTTGTATGTACATAATTGTATAATAGAATACACATAAATTCCTAACATAATACACATAATTTTAATATAATACATAATACACATAGACTCTTAACATAATGCACATGAACTCTTAACATAATACACATAAACACTTAACGTAATACACATAAGTTCTTAATGTAATACACATAAACTCAAAACATAATACATATAAACTCTTAGGGCGCACAATGCATTGTACACCTTGGTGCACGGAATAATTTGCCAGTCCTTAGCAGTTGTTATATTATAGACCGCGGTGCATAATCGATTATGCACCGCGGCCCATATACGGCGCCGTTTCTTTAAGTAAAGAAACGGCCCGCCGTTAGAGTTAACGGAGTCCGTTTGTTTGGTGTATTAAACACTAACTGACACTACAGTATATCCAAACCGACACTGCAGTTATATCAAAATGATACTATAGTTATAGTGAAATGAAACTGCAGTGCATATAAACTGAAACTGAATAACATTTCACATATTTGAGTGTATATTGTACAATGAAGCTGTAATTATATCAAAATGATCATGTAGTTGTGTTTTAATAAAACTATAGTGTATATAAAATAAAATTAAATAACATTTTCACATATTTGAGTCTATAAAATATCGAATGAAACTATAGTTATATCGAAATGAAACTGTAGTTGTGTTCAACTGAAACTGCAGTGTATACAAAATGACACTGAATAACAGAGTTACTTTTTGTAAAAGGGTGCGAAACGGCGGAAATAAACATTGTTAATTTTCATTTAAAAAAAAAGACGCGCGGTGTATAATATAATTTGCCAGTCCTTAGTAGTTGGGCCTTAGGAAACCTTATTGGGCCTATTTAACTTGTTATTGGGCTTGTTGCCTTGGATTTATTAAATTAGACTGGAGGTTAGCGTAAAATAAAATTGTACGAAGCATACGGCAAATTATGCTATGCGCACGTGCGCACGGCACTAAAATAGCGTCATTTTCCGTGAAAACGACGCTGTTTTATTTATAAAAAAAAATTTGTTCGAAACGCCGTTAACGGCGTTAACGGCATATTCGTTATGAAATTATGAATATACAGTTATGACATTATGAATGTACAGTTATAGAATTATGAATGTATACTTATGGAATTATGAACTTACAATTATGAACATAGAGCTTCGAAAATTATGAATGTTCGGTATGGAATTATGAATATACAGTATGAAATTATGAATGTACAGTTATGGAATTATGAATGTACTGTTATGGAATTATGAATGTACAGTTATGGAATTATGAATGTACAGTTATGAAATTATGAACATAGAACTCTGACATTATGAACTTACAATTATGAACATAGAGCTTCGAAAATTATGAATTTACAGTTATTGAATTATGAATGTACAGTTACGGAATTATGAATGTACAGTTATAGAATTATGAATGTACAGTTATGAAATTATGAACACAAAGCTGTGAATATATGCTCCTATAATGAAGCGGTCTGAAATTAAATTTTTTTTAAAAAAAAAAAAAAAAAAAAGACCGTTATCCGTGCGCATGAAGCGCGTTGGGCACGAGCCCACAGCATAACTATCCCGAAGCATACAGCATACTCGGTCGTAAACGTCGTCGTTTGTAAACCTTAAAAGCTCGTCGTCTACAACTCGAGGTCATTTTCCCTTCTGCAGTATCTACAGCTCGATCAAAGAGCCATGGCTTCTTCGATAGCTTCGATGGCTGCTCGCCGAGCCGCAGCATTCAATCGAATCGCCTCACCTAGCTCAGCGTCTCAGGCTGCTTCTCTTGTTCAGCGTCGCGGTCTCGCCGGCGCTGCTGGTACTAATCCCTCTCTCACTTTTCAGATCGATTTGGATTAGAGTTAGATGTTCTTTCTTTCTATTCTATTGGATTTACCTAATGCTTGGTGATTGAGTGTTTTGAAATGCGAATCCTGATCATTTCAGATCACCATGGACCTCCGAAGGTGAACTTCTGGCAAGACCCAATGAGTCCGTCTATATGGAAGGAAGAGCATGTAAGTCTCCTTTTCAACTTGTTAGGCATTTTGCATTGCTGTATTACCTGTAGAATAATGTAGTAGGGTTGAATTTCATTGTTCTTGGTAGTTCAGATTGCCAAAAATTCTAGGAGCTTTAATGAACTGTGATGTCCCCCACACCTTGTAATTAAATTGTAATATCTGGAAATAATCAGATCAAAACAATACATTTGTCTCTGTTTCTGGTATTGCAATTTGTAGAGGAGCAGTAATAATCTGATTTAAAAAATTGGTCTTCTGTCCCTTCTTCTCTATGGAGTGAATGTTTCTCGGCTTTCACATCTTGCACTTTGTTATACAAACTGCATTATGCCACAATAGAAATGTTGAGTTAATGTTAAGAGATACATTTCTTGGTTCTTTTTCCTATTTCTAATGGGCTGGGGGATGGCGGTTGCTACTTTTTGTTCTGCCAACCCTTTTCTCATAACACTGCCTACATGCTTAGTTATTGATACGAGTCTTGTGAGTAATGATGATATGGCTGATCTTGCCTTTAGCCAAATACAGAGTATTAACAAAAGAGATTGTGAGGCCAAGCTGTTGTGTTAAAGCTTTCTGTAAAATCCGGGGATAAATGTTACTATTTGTATGCATGACTGAATTTTTTCTTGCAGTTTGTACTCATCTCTTTGTCTGGCTGGGGTTTGGTTTTCTATGGTGGATACAAGTTCTTCACAGGTGGCAAGAAAAATAAGGAAGAGGTGAGACTTTTACTTCAAAAACTAGCACGTTAACATTTGATGTACTACCTTGCTTAAGACCAGTTTACTCTTGATGATTGTATAAATAACTTGGTTTAAGTTTACCTTTATATGTTTATAGCATGAAGCATTAATTGTCAATAAATGCATTTGATAATTGATTTTTAAAAAAATGGCATTTTATTACAGTAACCTCTATAAATTAGACTAAAATGTCTGAAGGTTTTGTGGGATGTTACTGAGGTTCAGCAAGGTTTGTGATTTGTGAACCAGCCAAACTTCATATCAATGAGATTCTGCTTGGCTCAGATGAGTTTTCAGTGCATGCTTACAAAAACAAAGAGCTTGAGTTATGACCACACATTATAAATATTGGGCCAAGTATTTCACTGATAGTTGAAGTGGAGAGCTTAAAACTTTTGTTTGTTTAGTTGTATGCCAATTTCTAGATTATCCTGTGAACCTAGAGGTTCCAAAGTGGATAGTGCAGTCACTCTGTGGTCTCTTCTCTGTTTAATCTTTCCTCTTTCATTTTTTTTTTCACCGCTATTTTGATTGGACTGACACGTCCTTTTTCATTTGACAGACTCCGGTCCAAACATCTCACTGAAGCTGGAAATTTGGAAATCAATCTTGAAGAGTGCAATTTTAGAGAGTTGGGCATTTGGCAAACTCCCTTGTAATAGTTATCTCACAAGGCATTTACTTTGTCACTTTGTTTTATCTTTCCCCATTCCATTTGGGAAACTATCATTATTGCTCTACAATTGTCACAGATAACATTTATTGCATAAAATTTTGAATTACCATTGCATTGCTTAAACAAAAGTGTTCCAAATTTATACATATTGCCAACTTGATCTATGGTTATAAGAATGTACAATTGGCTATCCCAGTATCCCACTTACCTTTGTGAGAAACTACTTGCTTCAGGAAAAACTGCAAACAGCTTCTCTGTTAAACCTCATTTTCTGTATCACTGTCACCATAAACGCTCAAACTGTTATGACTTTGTGTCTCAATTCTTAGCCAAACATTGTTTACTACGAAAATCTTCAGATAGCAGCTTCTGCATTAGGCCCTCCAGCCTCTTTGCACCAGGACCAGGCCTAAACACTGAATCATCACCGAGCACAGAACAAGGATCGCCTCCGTCTTCCTTGCTTCCAACACACCAAGCCCCCGGTGCAAAACGATTTGTGCGTCCCAGCAATTCTTGGTCAATCTTGTCTAGCACGGGATCATCCCTGCGAAATTTTCTAGCAAATGCAGCACTGCTGTTGACCATCTTGTCGAAGTCCTTGAGTGTCAGCGAGAGAGGGTGTTGCTTGGGAGGGGAGTCCCACGCAATGTAGTGCAGGTCATGGTTTATCGCAGTGCCACGGAACTCATCAGTGTTGCAAATGGCGGTGTGGAAATAGCCTTCGGGTGAGGATACAAAATTAGTGTAGTACATGAGAAGAGTTCGCGGAAGGTTATCCCATCCCCATATGCAGTACTCGAGGAAAGAGCGAGTCAGTATCACCCATGCTGAGCCTGCATCGGAAACAAATAAACAATACAATGCTAAACTGCTAATGCTACATAAAACGGTAACCAGGTTCAGCAAACTTACCTGTAAACAACTTAAAAGACGTTGGAAGTGATCGGCGTTGAGAAGTCGTAGAGAGATCAGATTTCTTAGACAAATAAAGACCTGGATCAACAAATATGGGCCTTGCTCTTTGGTTCCTGTAAACATCAACACCATAATTTATATATGGAAGGGGAAAACGCCCGTAATATTAAAATGTAGCTCCATGCCTTAGCAGTTGACATTGAATGAATAACTTACAGTTTCCACCCATAAAGCTGCATATGTTCAATGAAATTCAAATTTCTCGACAAATTGGAGAAAACATGAAGGAGATCTGCAATAATCGACACTCAAGTAAGCGTTGCTTTCTAGAATGAGGGCTCCAAAACAAGATCAGCCGCTATCTAAATCCCCCAACTCATATCAAGAACCGACCTTTGGTTCAAGTAGGAGCTTTTGTTCCTCTTAGCAAGGTTTCGGATTCAAACCTTGTGAGAGCTCCCTGTCAACTGGGGTCTATCAACCGCAATGAATGTAAAAGTTCCACTCGATCTTAAAGAGCAATAGAGTATAAACAACTTAAGTATATAGTCCAACTACATGTTCTAGGAAGTGAAAACATATATGCAAATATAGCAATGTGTTACGTAAAACATAAAAACTAGAGTTACTGACAGTACATTAACTGTGCAAAATTTATCACTGTTAAGAATATTTCTAGGGGCATATCACTATTCACTAGTGTGAGCAAGAGTTTCACGGAAAATGTTATCATCAAAATGAATATAGGATCCATGCCTTAAGTGCAAAATGTTAAGAACCAAAACCTATAATCAGAAAATATTATAGAAAAAGCATAGCACTAACCATCCTGAGTCACGAGAGGGTAATCAGAAGCGCTGAGATTGATAAACCAGTCCCAATCTGAACTTTCCTTCAACATAATTGCTATAGCCTGTAAGGTAGTTGCAATCATTGTAGGGCCCTTGTAAGTCACCAAGTTCGATTGTTCCATTACACGGACATTCAGCACTTGACGGAAAGTTGGATCATTTTTCACCGTCATTGTCAAGTTCAACCTCTCACGAGGTGGAGCTTCAAGATCCATATGCAGAATATACTGGTTTCTTGGATGATAAACGGCTTGCAGAGTCCTCAACAATCTTTGGCTATCACCCTTTGTGCCCGATATGAGATAAGCAAACCTAGGAGGTTTGGTTCTTAGAACCCCATTCCGCATTGATGACCTCAACTCCGAGTCTACAAAGTACTCACCAGAATCTTCTGGCTCGCTGAAAGTTTTGATATCAAATTCCACTTGTTCCCTACCATACGATGAAGTATATATCCCAGAAATCGTTGCCATAAACAGAGTAATGGATACAAGCAAACTTAGAAAGAATGGGATTTTCCACCTTCTGTCACTGAAAATCCTCCCTGAGTGGAAATTGATGCTTTTCCTCATATCTTGCCGCCTTCTTTATCCGATATTGCAGTGAAGACCTCAAATTTGAAATGAATTGAACAGAAAGGGTATAGAGCCTCACGCTTTAATCTTGATCTTCCTAAAACAAGGACCAAAAGTAAACCAAGGAGTTTTAGCTATGGAAGCAGAACCGGCATTCTCCAATTTAAGAACAACACCAATAGGGGGGGCCATGGGAAATCAAAGTTCATCAGAAATGAAAATGAAGCTCAGAATACCCCACACTTACAAAAGGTACAAACTTTAGGTTTCGGTTCTGTCCCAATGAAGGACAAAATGATATTTATTCACCAACTAGCATTTAAAGAGCCCAGAACAAAAATTTACAGCAGAAAAAGCAAGAAAACCTAAGCACAAAGCCACAAACTGATATCAGATTAATACAAATGCAATACCAATCAAACCCAACACTCTAAAGTTAAGATAAATCAATTTCGAAGCTCAATCTTTCCAAACCTCAGATCCAATGACTAGCATAGATTAATCTATGTCTAAAGATACACACTGAAACTGGCCTAAGAGGTAAGTTATATTGAAATTTAGAAACCTTATTATACTAAAAGGATGAACAGAGAGATAATACAGCCTCAGAAAGACACCAAACGCAGTGGGCGCAATCCCTTCAAACTAATAAAAAAAACTCATAAGAGAAATGGGTCAGTCCCAACTTTCAAGCATTGATCTTTAACATAGAAAACAGCCATGAAATTTGAAAGAACATGAAATAACTTGGAAAAAACAGTCAGTACAGAAGAAGAAAAAAAAAACCCTGCTTTTGAAGAATAAAATTACAGTAAACAATTCATAGAACCCACTGACCAGAAGACACACAAGTGCGTTACAAGTCTACAGCTTGCGACGAGCATTCTGAGCTGAACCAAAGCAGCAAACGCAGAGAGAGCGACGAGGAAGAGAGAGAGAGCGACGACCGTAAATGGTGGGTAATTAAAATCAAGACAGGTTAAAGTATCATAGCGGTAGTCAAACACTTCTTTTTTATGTAATTAAGACTGGCGAATGGCGATTGAGTGAGTTTATAGAACAACAAACTCACAACTTAGCGGTAAACTTTGACAATTGATTTGTAGAGTTGTAGGCAAGGAAACATAGCCGTGTCCTTCGATGTACCAACAAAAAAGTAGCCGTGTCGTTCGGACAATCGGACAAAATCATCCATTCATTTTCTATTTTACCGCTATTAAGTCTATTATTACTAATTTCAACAATGTAATAATATTTTAACTATTATATATATATATATATATATATATATATATATATATATATATATATATATATATATATATATATATATATATATATATATATATATATACTCGGATCAAATGGAAGGGGATGTCCAATTAACCAGGGATAACTAAAAAGAAAAACTACAGAAACTTTCGTTTAAAAAAAAATTAAAATAATTATTTTTAAAAAATATTTTAATTTAGAGTAACATGTTAGTAATCTGAACTAATTTAAATGAAATTGGTTAGTCTAGAGACTCAATTATTGTTGTTTTTTTTTTTTTTTTTTTTTTTTTAGATTCAGTGACCTAATTGTATTGGTTTGTGTAGATTCAATTGTTGTTGTTTTTAAGTTCAGTGACTTAATTGCATAATTATGTGCAATTCAATAGCTTATTTAATTCTTATTCCAATATTGTTGGATCAATTGCTCACGTATATTTTTTTCTTTTTAAAGAAAATAAAAAATATGTAACGATATTTTTATTAAATGAAAACAAAACATTCTACTCAGTATCGTAGAATTTTTATTTAAAAATAAAAAATAAAAAATTCAAGTCTCTCCTATATTGTGTACCTACCGTCCATATTAGGCAACATAAAACAAGAATGAGAGTTATATTTGAGGTAAGATTTGTGATTCTTGTTCAAAAAAATTTGAAGCAAAAGGACTAATAACACATACTGTCTCTACTACCATAAGCTATCTCTATTTAACCAACAAAACACCAGATCTGTTCCAGATTCATGGATTGAGGGGATGAAAGCAACAAAGTTAATCAAAGAATTCAAAGCGCAGAGCTGAGAAGTCCAGCCACCATGCAGCAGCAGCAGCAGCAGCAGCAGCCAAGTTATAGCGATGCCATCATAGTCGATCTTGCAGCCTCCCTCTTCATTTGTTCTGCTTTGCCACTTCCCCGGAAATAGGCGAAAACTTGCTGCATGAATGTGTTGCAGGAAAGAATAAGCCCGCTAGCTAGCATTGATAGAATTGACAGAAAGGAAGAATGTGAAAGAGGCTTTTGGGATGAACCTGAATGACCCATATGCTTATCAGTGATTCAATGAGGAAGAGTGCGAATCCCACGAGGTACAAGATCTGCAGGCAAAAGCAGATTTTTTTGGGTATGAAATTTTACCATTTTTCTACCACATTATTGTACAACATCTTAAAGAACTTACCCCAACGAAAACACTGTCGCTTAAAACTTCAAGTGCAGGCAACATACCACTGTAAACATGAAGATCGGAGTGCAAAAATCACATACTAAATAGTATCAAACAAACAAAAGATACAGGCCAGGAAAGCTATCTTTTTGCACATGCTAGGAAATCATAACCTGTTTAAGACAATATGTAGAAAGCAACTTACGTCAAAGATTTCCCCTTGAAGAAGATGGGAGGTGCAATAGCAGAAACAACACAGAACCCAATGTGGATCTTCAACATTAAAATAACATAACACAAGTTAAAAGGGATAAGAAAAATCAGACTCAACATTTCGACAAGAACTATGTTCAAATACAATGAAGGAACAAAAGCCAGGTTCAGTATTCACCGAATAACACACGAAGAACTGCCCAAACCTTATTGCACTATCAGTCCTGCATACAGCATACACATTTCAAGGAGGTAGGGCATCCCCAATATAATTGATTAGTAAAGCAAATTTTATACTTCTCCTTTGCAGTTTGCATTATAAAGAAGTATCAAGTGTAACACGATACCATAGTTGCAATTCAGATAATTAAACATGGTAAGAATGGGAGCAACAGATTGAGTACTGGTGCAAATTTGCAAGGTTATTATTTGATATAAATTTCAAAAATGTCATCAAAAATAAAAAAATAAAAAAATACCTCATTGCGCGATAAAGAGGTTGGTACCACAAAACATAGGCTCCTGGGACACCTGATACCAAGTAAATTATAGCAAGAAACCATATTGTTACACCTGAAAATTAACAGAACTTAAAATTAGTCGCAAACTTTTAACCATTTCTGAATGAAGATCCAGAAATGAAATTTAACACCAACCTTCTCCCTTCAACCAAGCACAGGTAACTGCTACAATATTCCAGCAAAGACAGAGAACAAGTCCTGCAAGTCACTGAAGCCAAAATGAGCCTACTATTCTGCTAATATGGTTTGTACGTTTTTTTAAAATTTAAAATATTTTTAATAAGACCAAACTAAAACCAGAATCTATCACCTGCATTTCAACCTCAAATTTATTTTAAACTATAATAAAATCGATTTCAGCAGGATAACACAATCATAATATTCCCAAGTAAATTGACCTTTAGAATTGAAATACAAGGGTACAAAAATGAATTACAAGAATGACAGGCATTGAATATCAAATGCATATCAATCTCTCAAAAGTTAAAACATAAAATTAGTTTTGCCAGAATCATCGGTTAGGAGCATATGTTGATAGATGCTTGAACTTGGGTAGAGGTAATATCAATGAAACTGGATTTAGACGACATACCCAAAAATGTTGTGAATGCCACGTACTGCAACCTCTGTAGATGGATTGGAATTTCATTTGCAATGTCATGGTGAATGACAGGAAAGAAAGGAGGCCAATTGTTTTCCTCAATTACAATCCCAGCTGCCAAATAGAAAACACATGATAGATTTAGTATCACACAGTGGAGAGGAAAACACTGTTGAAGAAATCTGAGTTTGACATGAGGTGCATGTAAATATAGAGAGCTACCTCGTTTAATGGCATCCTCCTTCTTTTGCAGTTCCTAAAGAATACCAATAAACTGACAATTAGCATGAAAAAATAAGTCAAATTACAATAAGACTAAAAGAGGCCTGAATTTATGGGGGGGGGGGGGGGGGGGGGGGGAAACTTGCAAGTAAACTCGCATCCTATTTCTAAATGCACTAAAATAGAAACATAAGAGCAAAACACAACTTCACACAATAATTTTTCATGGATGGACAAAATTCAAGAAAGCAAAGAAGCTAAGGGGTTGTTTACTAAAGTGGAAAAAATGTTGTAATCCAACATAAAATCGAACCAAAGCAAAGAGGATAAAATTTAAGCAAAGCAGAATTCAAAATCATACCTCTTCCCTCTTTTTCAATTCAGCCTCTCTAGCTTGAAGCTCCTTCTCCTTCTTCTTTAAATCCTGAATTTATAGAAGCAAATAGATTATCTCAACCCTAATACCCTAAAAAGAATGATCATATAAAGGAACCCTGAAAAGTGCATTATGTATGTAAAAAAGAGCAGCTACCACTTATATGATGAGGAGCATTGTTTTCACCTGGGAGTTATCAAGGGGAATATCAACAGTAGCACTATGATCATAGTCAACAGGTTCATGAGGAAGAGGGGAAAGCTTTGAGTTTGATGCTTGTGGGTCACCCCCGGGATTCTTCAGATTTCAACGGGATTTGGTAATGCATATGCAAGGTAATTTTGTAATTATTACTGAATGAAGAAAAACAAGCATGCAACTAATAGATTCTCACCAAATCGAGTTCTAGATTCGACCAAATGAAAAACTTCATACCACTAAACGTAAAGTCGTATATATCTACATAGTGCCAGTGCCGATTCTAATGCAGATGAAACACCATTCTGCATAAGTTTTTCACAGTGATTGATGGTGATTCATGTAACAGGAATATATTCAGCACGAAATCTAAAACCAAAATTTCTGAATTGACTGCCCTGGCAACGCAATTAAACCTAAACAATAATAATCAAACCCCATCACAGAATCGCACGCACCAAAATCAAATCAAAACTTCAAAGATACGACAATGCGCCCATGTAATATGATATGACAGTACATGCATGAATGCATGATTCAAGACAATACCGCAAATGGATTAATTTCTTCATCGGCGAACGGATTCTCCTTGTAACCGCTTGCCATGAGATTGAATCACTAACAACTATCAGCAGAAAAGAAAAGAAAAAAAAAAAACAAAAAAAAAAAGATTTTTATTTTTATTTTTTAATTCACGCTTTCTAACTACTTCTAAGAACTCGATCTTCCCCGGGAGCAAAAAACGAAAAGATCGCACGCTAAAATTCTGATATTTTAAGCAAACATTTCCCGTTGTCCAAAATGCAAACTGACATTTTCAGGTTGAGAGCAGAGAATGCCGCATTTTGCGCTGGTCGTTAAATACGATAAGGTTTACCCCCTTCATTTTTTATTTTTTGGTAACCAAATATTTCACCATCCACTATAATTTGCAATATTACACAAACACTTTGAAAGAGTAACGATTTCCCGTTTTCTCTTCGAAGAGAAACCAGCAATCACTACCCGAGAATAAGCACCAGGAAGATACATATAGAACTTGAAAAAATTTCACTAATAAATAATAATAATAATAAAATAGAAAATGGCGGTTGTTAAACAATTGGGTTAGGGAGCTTATGCATCAAGGCCAACATGTCGCCTAAATGAATACTAGAATGATACATTTTTCAAATGCAGAAGAACAAAAAAGCAAAAATGACAACATGAATAGGCGTAACAAAACAACGAAAGGCGCTTTTTGCATGGATGGGGTTGTTATCATCAGATCATTCCCTCGGATCGTACAAGACATATATCTTGTGTTAGCAGGGTTTAAGACCACAACCTTGTTTATAGGATGGTAAAGCTAGCAATGCTGGTTTGCGCCTTTTCGGTTGGTTACACTCTAGATGACTTCCCAAGAAGTTCAAAATCCGATTCTTGATTGTTCATTGCCTCCGCTTTCCAGTCACTCATCCTCGGATCTATTGGAAGTTTCCCTCCTTATCATTTGTATGATGTCCTGCACAACTTCCGACATTGGTGGCCTGAACTCTGGCTCAGGCTGCCAAGAAAAGAAGACTACATTGGTAACATGTCGATGGGGAAAGTTAAAAGTAAAGTATTGAATGTTTCAAGCCATTGAGCACATAATATATACGGAGTATAATTCAACTATCAGTTTAGCCTTTTAGTTTAGACAGAACACTAGGAATATCGAAGTCATAACTTACCTGAACACATCGGGAAATTATGTCAGCGAAGTGTGATAATGATTTTATCGGGTATTTTCCATTAAGACAAGGGTCAACCATCTTTGTCAAGGCTTCAATATCGTGGAGCTGAGGTATGGCCCATCTAACCAAGGATTGCTCACCACGACTCCGATTACTAAAATAATCAAAAGATAATTACATCGCTTGTAAAGGGGGGGCAAAAAAAATAAACATAACTCATCAGGTGTTGGGCAAGGATTTTTACCTGTCATATGACATCCTGCCCGTTAAGAGTTCCAACATCACCACCCCAAAACTGTAAACGTCACTGTTTATGGTATAAATTCCCGACTCAGATTCTGGGGCACCATAACCATAGGTTGCAAGAAGTTGTCCTGACAACTGAAAATTTTGTGATGTTAGATATGCAGTTTTCAAGCATCTTGCTTGAAAATTACAAACATAAACTCAAATCCGTAGAATGAAGTTAAGGAATTGAATACTATAAAACACTGGTAACCTCATTATTTAACCAGCAAAAGAGGAGCTGGACACTTTCAAAAAGGTTTACGTTATAGATAGATCTCAATCTTTGGAATAAAGTATGTTGGCAATGGATCTTTGGTAAAACATTTCGCTTTAGATCAATTAAAAAACTATTTACACTTTACCTGACTAGCAGCCCCTGTTGATATCAATGGAGCCAAACCACAATCAGACACATGTACAGCAAGCTCATCATCAAGGAGAACATTTGCTGACTTCAAGTATCTGTGTACAATCGGTGGCTCACAAACCTCGTGCAGATACCTTCAGCATATAAAATAAAATTGTTAACCCATGCCCTTACTTGCATTTTTATTTGAGTAGATTAACGCAACCTTAAAGTCCAACCTGGACCTTCCCTTTTGTTATTATTATTATTTTGTTTTCCTACTAGTAACAGAAGATGTAACTTACTCCAATGCTCTTGCAGCTCCCAGAGCCATCCTGATGCGGATATTCCATGAAAGGTCTTTCTTGAATTCGTCATCAGAGTGCAATGCATCATGCAATGACCCGTTACTGCAGTATTCATAAACCAGGAGCCTTTGACCATGCTCCGCACAGTATCCCATGAGCTCAACTACATTAGCATGACGTATCCTATCAATGCTGTTTACCAGTTCAAGAAACTCGTACTCCTGTTGACTGGAGAATTTTTTGTCCAGTTTCTTGACAGCAAGAAACTACAGAACCATTAAAAAGAAGAAGAAGAAGAAGAAGAAGAAGAGTGTCAGAGGTGAATCATGCAGTTAGAAACACCTGGCCTAAGGAGAGGGAAAGAGAGATTCACTATTCTTATATAGAAAATAAGTTACTTGGAGTATTGGGTACTCGATATTAGTAAGTTTACTTCAATCAGAAGAGATATGCCCATACCTTGCCATTAGGGAGCTCTGCCCTATACACATTTCCTAGACTTCCAGTTCCAATAAGATTATCTTGAGAAAAACTATTGGTATATTGCTGAAGAGATGCTACTGTGTATGATTTCACAGAAGTTGGTGGCAGTGGCCTGGTTGAACGCTTCATTACATTTTCTTCAGCATGTGGGATTGGCTGGACAATAACCCTCTCCTCTGGTGGTGGTGGTGGTGGTGGAGGAGGAGGAGGAGGAGGAGAAGCTGGTGGTGGTGGAGGTGGCGGTGGCGGTGGTGGTGGTGCCATAAAATCAATATCAAATCTGCTCAGGTTAATCTCACGGTTGTCCATCTTTGGTATAGCACTCATGTTTTCTGTAGCTGCTGCCTGTTCATCGTGTGGTTTTGGAGTGGATACAGGCCATCTTGTACGTTGCTCCTCCTTTGGCCCTACTACTGGAGGAGCTGTAGAAATACATCTGAGAATGTCAATCATAAACGGAAGCAAAGATATGATTATGTGAATAACAATCATAATGTAAAAACTCCAATACCTTTCTCTATATCAGAGCCAGGTTGAGGCAATGAGCCATTATTAACGGGGTTCTCTCTTGCCCCCACATATGGAGCTATTTCATGCCTCTTGGGAATCCTATGAGTCTCTTGTCTTTTACTAAGGCACTTGGGTAAACAAAGAAGGATTGCTAATACCAATATTACAAACGACAATACTGCTGCAATTGATATCCCAACTACCCTTTTCGTTGATGACTTTTTGCTCGTGGTAGAATTTGATTGCCCAGTTGCTGATGGCCCATCAGCCTGCTTTGCAGGTCTCCTGTCAGACTTCGGTGGTGACTGTGTAGAAGTGGGACCCCCAACAAAGAATGGCGGTGCTGGAGGGGGTGTCGTGGAGGATGTGGGTGTCGTGGAGGATGTTGGTGGAAGTTGTGGTGCACTACTACTGTTGAAAGGGTTTCCATCTTTTCTGTAAGAATAGAATAAACATGATTTCTTCCTAAAAACAGAATTATATGGGACAACTTCAAAGACTAACAAATTGTTTATGTTTGTGGTACATAATCTGCGATTAAAGTTTAATTATTGTAGCACTTACTTGAAATCAGGAATAGTCAGGAGTTGCTGTGGTATTGGTCCAGAAAACAGGTTATTTTCGATATTTCTGAGAGGGGAGGAGGAGGGGAAGAAAGTGTTAGTACGATACTATATCATTCTAAAAAATACAAATGTTGAGTGATAGAAATAAAGTAAAGAGGAATACAAATCTCTGAGGGGAAGATTTTGCAAAACATCAAGGGTTCCAGAAAGTTGATTGGTCTGCAAATGACTGGTATATCAAGAGATTAGCTTAAATAGCATAAATCAAATGAATCAAACTGAATCTGCAAAGTTGAATCACTCACAGAGTTATCAATGCAGACAAATTTCCCACTGATGGTGGCAATCGCCCACTTAAATTGTTATTAGATAAATCTCTGTTCGTAATTGGCAAAGTTAGTTAATTAAAAAAAAAAAAAAAAAAAAGTAGAATCCTACATTTGCATTAAAGAAATGATTTTCTAACGGTGCCATACAAATTGACCAAAGCTGTAAGTCCTTGAAATGAATCGGGAATCTCTCCACTCAAATGGTTTTCGTTCAGAGACCTGGAAGACATGCAGATTTATATCTAAGCAAAATATTGATTATGAAAAAACAAAGATATGCAACACACATTGTGGAGAGAAACTTACATAGCTGATAATTGACTCAGGGAAGACAAAGAATCGGGAATACTTCCAGTAAGCTGGTTAGCTGAAAGAAAACTGCCAAAAGTAACGATCATTATATATTATGTTCAATAACTATGATCATTATTCATTAAGCACATGGACCCTCCTCTCTTCTTCATCTAAATTATATGTTGTTCTTAAAGAAAAACGATGGCACATACAGGGTCTGCAAGGTAACCGGTAGATTGGATGGAATTGAGCCTCCAATGAGATTGTTGCTCAGATCTCTGCCACAAGACATCCATAGTTATTATGACGCTAGCAAAGGAGTTGATGCAGAGACAAGGAAACATGGTACAAGAGATTGGTTTCTGGCTTACATTGTTTTGATAGAAGAAAATCCTTCTAAGTTATCCCCCAGCTCACCTCCCAAATTAGCACCATTGATCGTGCTGTATAGAATATGATGAGAAGAATAACTAAGACCTCAATTCAACATATCCAAAAAAGATTAAAGTAGTGGAAGCCATCATACATTGACACTATATTTGAGTCCTCGCATACAACACCTTGCCATTTTCCATCACACGGGTCTCCATCAACACCCCAGCCAGGAAGAGGAGGCGACCCCAAAGCAGTATACAAAGCATTTATCGCAGCAACTACACCATTTTTAGAACAAAATGCCAATATCAGATGTGATTAGAATCCAAAGATACAGAAAGCCTGATTAGATAAAGTAACAATTAACAACCACCATCTTCTGCAACTCAAACAAACTCTAACAATGTAAAATTAGTCATTTAGTCTCAAATGAAAAAGGGTCTGGAAGCTGATCAATAATTAGATTGGACACTTGAAAGAATTCAATTGCATGAGTAAATCTATTACAAATAGTCAAGAACAGGTACATCAACTGCTTAAACTCAGCTCATAGACTTGGAAAAGCTTCCCAGAAAATCCTACTGAAAGAAACCAATTTTATTAAATAATAATGACTATACAACTGATTAAAGACTACTACGGACAAAAACATTAAGAAATTAGCAACCATTGAGGCATTGAGCCTTACCATCTCCTGGGCTAGCCGCATCAGAAATTTGAGCAGCCAAAATCAAGAGATAAGCCAAGAAGATCTTGGAAATCAAGAAGACCATAGCAGATCTCTTTCCACGCATTGATCCAAAAAAATCACTTCTTTCTCAATCAACTCTTCTCTTGGAGAAACGTCTGCATACCCAATACACGTATGGAAAGAACAAAAGCAAGAATCCCACAATGTCAGTGCGTCATCGAACTCAGAACTTTAACACATTCCTTCTATTTAAACGGGAAAAAAGAAAAAGAAAACGAAAAAGAAATACCCCAACTAACGAAACGGGTACCTATATTTACATTATCTCTCTGAACAGCTTTGGGCGAAGAATAAACCCGGAGAATAATGATTAAACACAGCTCTGTGTGAATTATGAGCAAATGATGAGAGCAAGCAGAATTATTTCACATAAAAGCAGAGATTTACTTATGAGGAAACGCTTGGCAAGAAGTAATTAGCGGCTCAATCAGTATATGCTTTAGTGGTAAATCTAGAGAGAGCCAAGGAGAGAAAAAGCTCTCACCTTTGCAATAGCTGGACGCAAGAAAAGTTGAAAAAAAAGCTAATGAAAAATGTAGAAAGTTGGGAAGAGACGCTGAAACTTTTCCTCTCAGTAAAAAAAAAAATGAAGAGCGAGGAAATAAAGGGCAGTCACTGAAAGTCGTATATATCTGCTTTCAGAGTCTGAGTCACTCCGACCAAATGAGGTTGCGCCACGCGCCACGCCGGCGCGTACATTTCAAGTTAATTAATCATGGACAGCATGCTGTCTGCTGAACTGGGGGTTTAATACTTCTACTAAAGTAAGTGTTTGTGATCTGATGACATCATTATTAAGGTCTATAAAAAAAAGTTTTATATTTTAGTCTCATACAAAAATAGATACTACTAATTGAGTAATTGATAAGAGTATATCAAAAAAAAAAATCTCAATTGCGTTTCATTATAGATTATTTCTAAAACAACATTTTTTCATTGTTTGATTTATGACTTTCAGCATATTAAATTGATAATTTTTAATAATAACTAACGATCAAATTTGTGCATACAAAATTATTAATTTTTTTTGGTGCGCTGCTGGGAGGACTAAGGGTCTCAGAATTAGTAAACACTTCTCGTAGTTAGAGACTCGTAGTCACGTCTCTAACGTCCCTATTTAGTTTATGTAATAGCTGATGAACTATTTTTCCTTATTTAGAAATTTAAAGATAATTTAAAATATATTATTTTCCAATATTTCCGTTTAGATGTGAATCAATGCTACCAATTAAGATGGTAATGTGGATTAGTATAATATTATTATTTCCCAAAATGTTCTAATATAATCTAGAGATCATATATTAATGTAAATACTAAATATCATGGTATTCATCACATTGAACTATCCACTTATTTTATGTTTAGAAACAAGCCAATATGATAATTGAACTAATTAAATTCAGATCTATATATATTTTCAAACATTTAATTAATTCCTAGTAATCTGTTATACCCCCGAATGTTGCTGCTATCAATCTATCGTTCATTAATTCATTTAGCACGACATTAAATACTCAGTATCGTATTTATCATATTAATAATTAATAATTAATCTCTCTCTATATGTTGAAGCGACAAGAAATAATAGTATTCTATTAAATTGGCAGTTGCATAAGCTAGTCTGCTCCAATATCAATAAATCTTTGGTGTGTTGAAACACATGCATGTAAATATAATAAGTTTTTATATACGCGGTGCTTATGATGCATTAATTAAATTTAATTATATATTAATTTTGTCCACCACAATTAATACTTCAATACTTTATTAATTATCTGCATTGCATTAGTGTCAAAATATATCTACGTATGCCAACACTTTTTCGGTTAAGTTTATATGTATAGAGTCTTTCGATTATATATTCTTTCTATCCTCTTTTTTGTCTAGGGATGTTAATGTGACGGGGTGGGTCAGAGGGGTACATTCATCACCCGATCCACCTTATATTTTATCTACTCACTCTCAATCCGTATCGAATGGACTTTTTCAAAATCTATCCCGCTCCATTAAGTGTGACTGTCCACTACAAGTACCCATCACTTATTATCTTATTAAAAAAAATTTTAAATAATGTATAAATTGTTTGATAAAACATGTCTATATGGAGGCAATTTTTTGCATGAATTGACTAGTGTATGAAGATTTCGTTGTGAAAATTACAAATGTGGAAATTAAATTTATTATAACAATTATTAGTAAATTATATAGTTGCCGCATTATTAATTAAAATAATTTTTGTGCGGGCTATACTGCACAAGTGCACAGGACAACTCATGTGTCATGGCAGAATGACAGCCTTTATTTGTTTAATTTGTTTATTTATATTTTTTTTTACATGATTTATATTTCTATAGGTTGCTGAATATTCTATCGATCTGTGACACTGTGTGTTTGTGTATGCATGCATACGCGCACTATCTGATCATTTAAATGTCGTAATAGAATTTTCTTTTACATACATTTATTTTTTGAAAAACTTTTACATACATTTATTAACACACAAAAAAGACGCTGTAAAAAAAAAAAAAAAAAAAAAAAACACACACACACACACACAAGACATGCAAAATATGGACATAATCTGAATTAACAAGTAATGTTTTTTTTTACCTTAGTTAAGTAACTAAACTCCTTTCACTTAAGTAATTAGTAATTAATTATACATTTTTTTTGTTGTTTTCTGTGTCGGTACTATTAATCCTTTGACTATGTAGCTTATTTGGAAGTCGTATAATTAAGAAACAATAATCATTAACTAATACTCCGTATATGTTGTCAAGATAAACTTGTTACTAGATATATATAATTAATTATCATATTCAAAATGAAACTGAGTATCTTTATACATAAAATATACTAAACGGCTAGGGATGAAAATGGGTCGAGGTAGACTACCTCAATCATCCGATCCACCTTATATTTTCTCTACACACCCCACCTCCAACCCGCATCAGGTGAACTTTTTCAAAACTTACCCCCACTCCCACAAAGTACGGCTGCCCACTACAGATACCCACACTTATCATCTTATTATTTTTTAAAAAAATAATATTTAAATTACTTATACATAATAAAATTCATCATTAGTTATCTTAAACCATAAAACAATACAAATATTCAAATATAATAACTAGATTGTTAATTTTTAAAAATAAACTTAGTAGTTTAGATTTAACAATAGTAAAAAGTTACCCAAAGTTATTAAAATTTTTATAATTATATATATATATATATATATATATATATATATATATATACACACACACACACACACACACACGTGGTGGGTTGGGTAGGATTCTGAGCGGGTTTTGCACATAGAACTCGAATTCAACCCGACCCATCGCGGGTTTTCATGCGGGACGGATTGAAATTGTCATCCCTACTAACTACTTATCTTTATCAGATCACCAATAATAACATGTGTAATTTTTTATTTTTTTATTTTGCATATTTTCATGCATGTACACATATTATTGCGCATTCCAAGTTTGACTTCCCGTGAAATTGTCTATTGATATTTTTCATTTGAATTAGTCAAATATGAACAACCTAAGTTAGTTTATCTCTTTGTGGTCATTTGTCGGCTAAGGTCACAAGGTAGAATTCACTCATAGTGCACATTTAGATAGCGACGGTGTGTTTTTCATAAATCAAATATTTTAGTGCATTAAAATTAAAAATGGCCCGTTGTAATGTCACATAGTGCAATTTGTAATTACTTTAGATTCGCTAAATTCCACAGTGAAAATTTTGATTTTATAAAACAATTCAAACTTGAACGGACTTGGTCTAATTTTTTTCTTACCCTATATGCAATTTTATAATAAATTTTCCATTTGTGCCAATATAATAATTAACAAATAACAAATGAGTTTATCACATTTTTTGTCGCCATTTTTACTTTTGATCATTTTTAAAAATATGTTTTATTTTTAGTCTAAAATTCTGAAATGTTCTTACATGTGGTAGGCTGAAGTTTAGTAAATATTTTCACAAAGTAATAGTATTTTGGACATTTAAGATCAAACTATGGAACTATTTTAAATAAAAATTAAAAATAAAAATAAATTAAAATTGATAACCAAAAGTGTAAGTTCAACTATAGTCGAGTCTTGAGTATGCAAAAGTTGAATAAGCTCGTTTGAAAGGGACTAGTTTTTTCTGATAAAAAAATTAAATTATTCAATTATTAATCCAAATTTAATTTGTTTTCATGTAAAGTAAAACAAATTTGATACAATAATAATAATAATAAATGAATAAATAAATAAGAATACCATATGGTACTATCAACATAAATACGTGATTGGCAAGAGATCTTATTATGTAATTGTATATATTGACGTGATACTCTGCATAAATGATATTGAAATTAACTCTCTTTGTATGTAAATAATTTTTAAAAACACACACAAAAACTTATGCAGGATATATAATTTTTAAATATGTACAAATATAATATTTTTTAATAAGTTAACAAGTATTATATTTTCACTGAAAATATTAGTAAAATTTAAATATTTGTTAACGTAACCTATAGAAAATTAACGAGTTAATACTCAATTTAGTCCTCGACTATAGTGAAAAATCGGGATATTTGATTACTCTTGTCATCGACTATAGAATCAACGACTAAATGGAGAAAAATCACTATATTTGATTACTAAACTAGGTAAAATTATTATAGTCGAAGACTAACTCGGGTAAAATTACTATAATCGATGACTAAATTGGGTATTAATAGATGTGAAATTACTAGGATATCTTAACACATGACTCAATTAAATAAAATCATCAGACTTGATGACCTAATTAAGCACAAAAAGTTGTACAAGACTAAATTAAAAAAATCACTATAATCAATGATTAAATTGAGTATTAACTCAAAAATTAACTCTAAGGAGTATTACATTCTTTTTTTATATTTGTTTAACATGGACATGAGATTAATTAAACGGTATCTAAAAAAGCTTATATACGTGATGGTTTGTAGATTAAAAACAAAAAAGTTTTGTAATTTTTTTCCAGGTTTTTTGTAATGTAATTGGATAACCCTTTTAGATATTGACCTGTCATGTGTGGAAAAGGGGAATGATATTATGGTCTTGGTTCAATTCATTATTAGGAAGCTTCTTGATATTGCACTTTCAACTTTTGAGCATTTTTCTTCACTCCCAACCAATTCTTTACATATATAAATCAATCTTTTTCCACCAGGTTTGGGCGGTCAAGGTTTCACTTTCTTTGTTATTCTTCAACAAATTGAAAGATATTCATTTGAAATTTCTCTCTGATTGATTTGAAACCTCAAAAAAAAAAAAAAAAAAAAAAAATCAAAAGTTATTTTTTATTTAAAAGCCATAAATTAAAGTGATTAAAAACACTTTTGTCCCCGTAATAAAATATATATACTCCGTATTAGCATTGATATTAATAAAACAAATCCGAATGGGGAAAGTTGCGAAAAAGGATATGAGCTAAGCCGATTCACAACTCGTTGTCTTTCATTTATTTTCTTCTACTGTAACCTTTAACCATCACTTCGTCACCTAGCTCATCCAATAAGAATCTTGTGCTT